CAAATTGTCAGCTAGATTAGCTTTAAACGAATTCTTTATCTTAGTCTTGTATTCATTTATCTCACTCTATAACTCGAGCAGCGCGGCGTTATACACAGCTACACAGCAGCAGCAGCTGCGCAAGCTTAGAGAACAACACGCTCTTATAATAAATTCTCGCTTTCTGCATTTTTAGTTACGTTCATTTTATTTTAATCGAGAGCAAAATGTCTATCCACTTTTCTCTCTCTCTCTCTCTCTCTGTCGACTTGTATATATACCGGTATTTTCGCTTCGCGTTGTTGATTCTGCGTTTAATCTGCCTGAAGAGGAGCGCGCGCCGAGCCGTAGCCTCGCGTCTATTAAAATGAACTCTCTCTCTCTCTCTTATATACATGAGCGCGCGCGCACAGGACCCGTGTGTATACGGAGCAACAACGAAAAAAAAAAACAAAAAAAAAAAAAAAAACGTANCAAAAAAAAAAAAAAAAAAAAAAAAAAAAAAATACGGAAAAAGAAAACTGCAGCAGCGGGAAATAAAAGCTCGTATTGTACACGCGAATTTTAGAGCTGGGACACAACAAAGTTTTTGAAATTCCAGTCTCATATAAAGGGTACATATAAATAGGAGGGGGCGTTTTTTGGAAAAATAGACATCTGTAATTTAACTTGGAGAGTCTCCGTCGGCGGCGGCGGCGGTCGACTCGTTGTAAATGCGACATCGCATTTCATGCTGCCCCGGGAGAGAGATAGAATCAAGGGCATTCGTTAGAGCTCGTATAGCAGAGATGGAGAGGCTGTCCTCCTCCTCCACCTCCTCCATGGCAAATACACACAACGTAGCAGTAGTACTAGTAGCGGTATTGACTCAGCATCTTCAAACATATATACCGCAGAGCTATATACTGACCACAGACTGCGACGAGGACGACGACGAGTAGTAGTACAACATATAGTACACATAAGTAAGAAGAAGTAGAAGAAGAAGGACTCACCTGTGCTTACACATATATACCGCGGCGACCGTAGGCTATGTACCAGTGAGATCAGTATTTGAGAGAGGAGAGGACGCGAGCAAACAATTTTTAATGAAAAAATTGTCCCTTTTACCCCCTACTAGGACGACGACGAGAGCACGTGAAAAGCTCAGAGCTCCTTTAGAAAGATAAAATTCTGCGCGCAATTCGCTCCTCTCGGCTCTCGCTTATTTTATTTTATTTTCAACTCCGCTCCCTTACCCTCTCTCGCCAAAGAGAAATGATATAAGGAGCTTTATTACGGACAATCTTCGTTGACCAATGTAAATACGTCGTCGTCTAGGTACTTTTCCATGCCTGCTGCCGCTCTCTTTTTCTCGTTTTCCATCCGAACGAGAGAGACGAGATCTTAATGTCGGCTAGCAGAGTGAAAATTCAATTTCGCCTCTATAGCCTCCCGGCGGCGGCAGCGGCCTAGCCTTCTCTCCCTCTTTTTTTCCTTTTATGCCCACGGATAGTGTCTTCTTTAACGACTCATATGTGTTTTTATGGTTACTACTCGCACGTCATAACACGAGCTCCCGGTTCGTAGCCGTAGCCGTAGCCACCGCCACCGTATGCGCAGTCGTTGGTATATATACAATACCACTGCGGCAGTTTTGATTTCCGATGGAAAAATTTTTACTCTCTTTCGCTCGCCCGCCAGTCAGTGAGAGAGAGAATGCAAAAAGCAAACGTGTAAAATTAGATTTTATTATGCGTTGCTGCCGCCACTGCTCCTCATTAGTCCGAGCAGCGCGTCGAGCGCGCGGAGAAAAATAAAGACAAAGCAGCAGCCAAAGCCAAAGCCAATATACTGGTTGTTGTGTGCGCGCGCGCGCGCGAGCCATAAAATTCGTAAGTTTTTTTTCGTGTCGTGCCGTAATCAATGAAGCAACAACGATACGCACCACAGGACGACGCATCGTTATTATTTTTGTGGTGGTAGTTTTCGAAACGCCCATAAAAAGGCAGTACAGCGCGTGGGCGAGATTGACATCTTTTTGCAATTTTTGCGAAAGTACCTCGAAACAAAATGAAATCTCACGACTTCTCTCTCTCTCTCTCTCTCTCTGTTGCCTCGTACGGTAACCCTTTGCTATATAGGTATATCAAGGATTGTGCTTGCAGCAGAGCTTGCAGCAGCTCTTATACTCCTCTCGGGGGGAGCCACGCCAACGCCGGGGCGATGTAACGCTCTAATTACGAAACTTCTCTTAATATTTATCTTGTAGCAGTGTAGCAGTTATGACGGGGGTACAAGAGAGCTTTTAACGAATGCTAGCGAAACGTTATTTTCTAGTTTTCCAGTTTTAAGTATATATGAGGCATTTCATGCGAAGTGTCCTAGCGTTTCGCCGCGCGGCCCAATTAAGCAAAATCACTCAGTTTCTAACTCACGTAAAAAGTATCAAAATATACTCAGAAAAAATAACTAACTAATGATTTCGATAGGAAATTTCCTCAGCTTTCCGATGGTGGGGTCAGATTTTCCGAAATTTTCCATTTTCCCCGAAAAAATTTGACATAAAGTTTAAAACGCAAATATCTCAAAAAGCCCATTTTTAAGATTTTTTTAAATAGTCCCAATCGAAAGCTGAGGAAATTTCCTAACTGTATGCAAGTTTTCAGAGTGTGCAATTAATTATTACTTAGTGAAACACAGCTGTGAACATCGGGCGCTCGGCCGCGCGGCGGTATGACGCCAGCCGCCGCGCCGTCAGCCATCGCGCGGCACCCACTGCCCTATTCTTGTGTATGACACGACTCTAATTTCTCTTTAAAAATTAAACAAATACATGATTTCGATGTATTTTTTTCTCAGCATTTCAATGGTGCGGTCAAATTTTCCAAAAATTTCATAACACGAAAGAAATGTAAATTACAAAAACTTTGAAAGTTTATGTCAAGTTTTTCCGGAGAAAATGAAAATTTTTGGAAAATTTGACCGCACCATTGAAATGCTGAGAAAAAAATACATCGAAATCATGTATTTGTTTAATTTTTAAAGAGAAATTAGAGTCGTGTCATACACAAGAATAGGGCAGTGGGTGCCGCGCGATGGCTGACGGCGCGGCGGCTGGCGTTATACCGCCGCGCGGCCGAGCGCCCGATGTTCACAGCTGTGTTTCACTAAGTAATAATCAATTGCACACTCTGAAAACTTGCATACAGTTAGGAAATTTCCTCAGCTTTCGATTGGGACTATTTAAAAAAATCTTAAAAATGGGCTTTTTGAGATATTTGCGTTTTAAACTTTATGTCAAATTTTTCCGGGGAAAATGGAAAATTTCGGAAAATCTGACTCCACCATCGGAAAGCTGAGGAAATTTCCTATCGAAATCATTAGTTAGTTATTTTTTCTGAGTATATTTTGATACTTTTTACGTGAGTTAGAAACTGAGTGATTTCGCTTAATTGGGCCACGCGGCGAAGCGCTAGGACACTTCGCATGAAATGCCTCATATATAACACGCTTTTAGCTAATACACTGCTGCTGCTCGCGCGCACATTTTCTATATCTGAATTTCAATTTTAAGCCGTGCGCGAAGAAGAAAAGAGTTCGAGCTCATCTCCCTCTCTCTCTACGACTCTGCGAATGTTAATCCTGGGAGGTAGTACACATATATATAAGATCGAGCAGGAGTCCCTCTGTGTGTGTGTGTACACTTTGCCGAAGATATAGCCAAGTTCTCTACAACTTATTCGAATTCTCTCGCTCGCTCGAGTTTACAATCTCTCTCCGACGTAGACGACGACGACTACGACGACGAGAGTCTAAATGTCGAACTGCCGAGGTAATTCGATTTGTTACGCATTCGCGAGGGATATTCATCGACGACGAGAGAGAGAAGATACGTCGCTCTGTGTGCGCCGGGTACGACTACGACGACGACGTGGTACTATATAATAAAAGAGACACGATCGGTTGAACGATTACAATTCGCGTATTATATAGTTTATAATTGAATGGTACTATACACCCCCGTGGCGGTGACGCTTGGTGCTGGTGCTGGTGGAATATTATATTGTAACCGAAGAAAAGGATACTAGCTGCTCGTATAACATAAATTTTCGACCGATAAAACGAAGGCTATTTTTCGTTACCGAAGATTACTTTTCCGTATCGTTTTTAATCAATTTTAAGAATTATCATCGCGTGTCTCTCCATTTGGAAAAATTATTTCCCGAACGCACACGAGGCTGGGGAGACGATCATTTTTCTTAGTTAGGAAGCGCGCGAACATTTCGAAATTAACACGAGAGCCGCGAGAGAGGAAAGTGCAGCGGTAACGAAAACTACGTTTTTATGTTTCGCGCGAGGTCTCCGAGGGCCTATCTTAAAGCTCGAAAAGTTTTGAACGCGCGAGAGTGAATTAAAAAAGGCACTCTCGCCTTTGATACGTACACCAGATAAATACCAATTAGCGGTCGTGCTATACCCGAATTGTACCCATATATATCGATAATGGCTGCTTTTCAGCAGAAATTTCGGCGAGTAAATATATATGAGGAACGAGAGAAAAGTATACGATCTTGTTTTCAATTTTTTTAATAATGGATATCGCGTTTGATATTTTTTCCTATTCCGAAAATCGAGTTATCCTACCTTCCTCTTCTTCTTCTTCTTCTTTTTTGATATTACGAAGCAAAGATGAAACGTACGCGGGGAAATGTAATTTGGGTGAATCCGAAACATCGCGTAGTATACTACTACTCTTGGAAAATGGATAAGACGGGGCGAGCGAGTATCGTACTCGCAATCGTCGATTTCTGCAAGTTTCAAACTCTCTCTCTCTTTCTACTACCGAAAAAAGCTCGATATCATTTCAAAACAAAGCGATCACACAGAGAGAGAGAGCATATTTTTATGCATCGAAACAATTCCAACTCTTGCTTACTCTATATTTCCAACTTATATGTACGTTCGTATATACTTTTTTCTTCGAAAGTCAAGGCGCAATCAATATTTAAATTCAATACGATGCTATATCCGTCTCTTACCAATTATCGTGGCGATGATGAGAAAGCTCAGGAGGATGGCTATGAGCACGGTGACGAGTAGATCGTAGTCGCCCAGGGTCTCGATGCTGACGTCGTCTTCCGGCCAAGTCGAACCGTTGCCACCGTCGCCGCCGCTGAAGTTGAAGGCAATGGGATACTCCGTCGACGACGAATCGTTCCACGTCGGCCAAGTCGCGTTGATCGACGTGCTGCGGGTCTGCGAACCCCATGACCACCATGTTTGCTCCCCACCCATAGCACTCTGCGGAGAAAAGATTCGTTTTGATGAATTAATCATTATAATTTGCCCTGTACGAGGCTGCAGTTTAAAGTTTTAAAAATGTTCGTTAAATTTTTGATTACGCGTTGTAGCTATTGCTCTGGTACTTTGATAAATAATGATACCTGTTGTGGCTCTTTATGAATGAAAAATAATCACGTTACATCAATTTTAATTAATCTGGCTTATGCCACGTCCGCATAAAATATTCTCGTATTAAATGCGACTATTTAATGAAAAATGTTGAATGTTCATTATTTAAAGGGATGCGTCGAGGATTACAATTTTTTTTTGCGAAATTTCGAGCGTTTAATGTATACGACTGTACTTACAGCGAACAATTTCAACTTTATCAATGTCGAATGACGGCGCGGGCATTAAATGCCATTTTCGTCTACTACTACTGCTACTTTTTAAATTAATTGGCTACAAAATATTATACAACTTAAAATGAGGTAAGCTAATGCCTCATCAACCCTTGGCTGCACAGCCTCGCGAGTTTATGGCTAATAATATTTCCACACACTTTACTATTAAGGAATATTATATATTTCCTGCACTGAAAACTTATATGCATTAAAATTATGTATTCCCGAGGAAATTAATGATACGCGCGTGTGAGCATTATTACGTTGTTTTTTTTTATTATTTCCTTGTTCAAGGACAAGAATCAATTTTAGTCAGTTGCGCGTCTCTCCGGTGAAAGGACACGAGGAAAACAACTTTCGGACTGTATCAACATCGGACAAAAAAAGCCACTCAGAAACGAGTCACTTTTTTGTACTTTTAATTTCACTGTTTTATTATTTTCCATATGCTCGCGCGCGTGGGAGGGAGAGTTTGCACACAAAAAAAAAAAAAATAATCAAGTTCGCAGGTAGATATAGACGGCGCATAGAAAGAGAATAGACCTTGTTAACCGCATTTTGATTAGATTTGAAAGATGTGAAAGCATGTGTGTGTGTATGCATGTTATATATCGTGTTCACCTCCGACGTGTAGAGAGAGAGAGAGAAAGAGAGAGACATCATGGGCAAACTATAACCACGTCGACCTTCGGCGCATCTCGCTGTACTGCTGCTGCTCACAATTCGAAAATTGAACTTTTGCCCGATGTACCGTGCAAAAAAATTTTGCATGTCAATGATTGTAAATAGGGTAAAATTCTCTCTCTCTCTCGTCGAACATCGAACGCGTTCCTGCCCTCCATTTCCCTCCCTTTCCCTTCCTCCTTCCTTCCTTCCTTCCTCGCCAGGTAATTATAGCCTTGTAATGAAGGGTATATTTCACGTTTCGCCGATGTTACGTGTACATATTTCTCTAGTGTTTGACAACGCGATAACGTGGTGTATACGCGCGCCCGGTCCAAACTTCATTATTACATATCTCTCGCGGACCTGGTGTGTATACGGAGGGAGAAAAAAAATTTACAAAAAATCCAATTATCGCGAAACGAAATGTAGGTTATGCTCGCGCGCGCGCGCGGCCCAAGTTATAATTTTTCATTTGAGAATTTTATCTACTGCCGCGATACCGAGTGTTCCACCACCACAACCGCGTTATGATGTATGTATCATTTTGTTGATTTTTTTATACCCATCAAAAAAAGCTCGAAGACACGGCCTGGCGGTGTCGGCAGCCTTTTAAATAATTCAAAAATAAATCTAAAGAAAGTGGCGCGGTGAATTTTTCCTAAAAAAAAAAAGAATGTATCTACGATACTCTCTTGTAAATTGTTGCTCATAAAAAATGTTGATAAGAAAAGTCGCTCGCGTGCGCGCTCTGAATGTGTGTGTGTTGTTGCCAGGAGGCTCAGCAGAGAGCGATATAAATTCACGAACTACACTTGACATTTTTCATGCCGATGGTAGGTAGGTAGGTAGGTACACACACATATATAGTAAAGAGTCGTGGTGGTATAGAAGCAACAGCAGCAGCGGCGGCAAAAGCAAATGTTAATGTCATGAGGTGCATCGGTAATTGTATTTCGTTGCTGACAGCAAACTACGGCAGCGCAGGGGGTAAAATACCAAGTTTTACGCCCCACTAAAAGCTTTTCAAATATGAGGGAAAGTCACACTATATTATGTGAGTGGGCCATCGATTCTATCCCTTCGTGTACAGCAGCACACTGCACAGGGGCAGGAGCGAGAGAGAGAGTGAACTTTTTAGCTTCTTCGCCGATAAATTTCATCCACGCGCGCGCGCGTGTGTATAACAAAAATATCTCTCTCTCAAGGCAGAGCACCAGCAGTAGCAGCGCAAAGTGATCGAAAAGTTTAAAAATGTCAGGTTTACAGAGGAAACCATAATTTTGCAGTGAAGAAATTTTTTATCATCGTCGTCATTTTTTTTTCTTTTCTTTTTTTTTTTACGCGAACGTGCTCCACCACTACGACGCGTTATAGGCCGCTCGCACGCACACGACGAGTATATGTAAATTTTCTCGAATCTCGGATGAAAAGAGGGGAATTTTTTTTTTTTTGCACTTTGCCGGGGCGGATAAAATGAATCGCGTTTCGAGGTCGATCGTACTAATTTTGACTCGGCGATACACGACGACGGGGCATTTTTTATTATGAAAATGAAAAGCTATACGTCGCGCTGGAAAAATGAACATTTTTAATTACACTCGTTTTACTCCGACGTGAAATTTTTGCTCCATGCCCTCCCCAAAAAAAGCTCCGCGCGTCTAATGGATTTGGAATTGGATACTCCGCGCGCACGAGGGTGGCTTCGATTATAATCTTGTAAAACGAGAGAATTACCTCTTAAAGAGCTTTAATAATTCGTGATCTTTTCGTTTTAATAAGCAGAAAAGAATTACGAAACAAAAAAAAATAATGATAATAACAATGCACGCCGCAACGGGTGCCTTTGTACTGCAATTAGCGCCCGTGTCATAATAGCAACGCGGCCAGCAGTTCTCGCGCTCGGGTCGTGCAGTGCCACGTGTGTACATCCAAAATAGCGCAGTGTATAATACGCAACAACACGTAAGAACAAAGATCCGGCCGAGCCAGAGCTTAAGCTCCAGCGTGCTATATACCGCAAGACTTGGTCTGTGTACCATACGGGGGGGGGGGGGGGGGGGGGGNGGGGGGGGGGGGGGGGGGGGGGGGGGGGAGGGGGTCGGCGCGAATTATTCGGTGTATTTCGTCGCTGTAAATAATTATTGTCTAGCGGAGCAACAAAGGCGAATATAATCTAGTCAACTTGGGGATCTCCTTATTAACCGGGGGTTCGCGCGATAAAAAAGAAGTTTAAATATGAATCAAAAATTTTACAAAAATTATATAAGGTATGATCTGTGTCGATGGAATAGACAATATTTTACGAATTTGAACTACCGATCAAGGCAAATTATTTATTATGAATGTATTGTAAGCGCATGTTAACTTTAAAAATCTACTTGAATTCGAAGTATTATTAGATTACTTGAACGTCGAAAGTCTGATTCTGTACTGAGATACAGCTATTTCCGTGAGCCTTTTTCCTATACTTTACGCGTTACATTTTTTCACACGTAAAGATTCATGGAAATAGCTGTATCTCAGTACAGAATCAGACTTTTGACGTTTGAATAATACAATGGAAAGAGGAGGGAAAGTCGTACTCAAAATTTCCAAAAAGAAATATTTAGTTTAAGGTGATATATAAGCTCATAAAGCTGTATGCTTTGATACATTATTAAGTTTTACTGTGCTCATATAATTTAGTAGTTGAGTTATCAGCGATTCCGGAAGAAAATGTTCCAAAAACCCGAACCCCCGTCGAACAACGAAGCCATTCGAACAGTACTTGGAGGTAAGCCTAATACGTATATTTTACATTGCTATGTTGTGCCTTTTCAGAAATATATTTGCCCTGATATGTACATGTAATCACATCCTCAACAGCGTACTTCTAGATGTGATATAAATCCTTAGTACATACTTTTACTGTAATATATTTTTTTCGTTTGTAATTTAGAAGTGATCGATGAGCCACCAACAGTATTTAGAACACAAGTTACAGAAAGATTTAACTACTCAACTTGACTACTTTCTCTGCGTGAAGCACATTTCGCCCCGTGCCACCTGGCGGTGACACGTCTAACTACCTCGCATACATTCCAATATAAGACTCGGGCAGCGATTCGCTATATCACTTGTCACATTACACTCGAAAGAGAGTTTTGATTTATAAAAAAGATGTGTAATTATCTACGTAAATTGTGACAACTGTCATGATTTTGACAACTCGTATAGGATAAATCTCCCGTGCTCATACTCATTCATTTTCTTACATTTTCATTCACAAGACTCGGTATATTTCTGTAAATTCATACAAACACTCCAATTGTCTTACATCAGTGCAGAGGACGATTAAATTTTACCGTTACACGTATGCATCTTTATCATTGTAACACGACTTTTTTTTTTTTGGAGAGGCCGGGAGTGGGTGGATACGGGTATTTATCGCATGCATGCGTGGGCATTCCCAACCCAACGAGAAATAATTCGAAATAATAAAAGTTTTCATCCGGTCGCGCGTAAAATAGACAGAGGGAGGAGGCCGGTGTGTTTCGTGCCTCCTCCCCCGCACACGCAAATACGTAACTCGAATTTTTAAGAGACAGAGTAAAGCAGATTATTATTTTTTCTGTTTTGCATTCGTAAACAATAGCCTCCCCCAGCGATAACAAAAGTTGAATATAATTTTGTGCGCGAGCGGGAGAACTTTTTTTCTCTCCAGCCTGTTTTTATTTATCTTTCAGCAGCAGCAGCAGCAGCAGTAGCAAAAGCAGTAGGAGAAACGATGCAATGAGCAGCAGCCGTCATCAGCGCCCATGCCTGGCAGAGGTGGTGGAGATTACAAATACCAATAAACAGTTTATTATGTTGGCCGGCCGCCGTTATCAGCTCAATAAATTGATTATAAAAGCCACTATAGTAGGAGAAAGGGAGGCATCGACAGACCTTATACACAGTATAGAATTTTTCATAGTCCTCAGGAATTCTTTGCGCGCAGTAATAGCGCAGCAAAAGCTGCGGTATATAGGCGACTGTTTCTCGATGTCGCGCGCGATGATGCTGCTCGTGCGTCGAGGGAGGGAGAAAGAAAAAAGAGTAGGAAATATATAGGTATTAACCGGGGGAAGAAATACAATCCACCGATTATATGTACTTTTCATTTTTCTAAAATGTCCGGTACACATCGTGCCACGGCCGTAGAGGCCAGCGGCGGCGGCAGCAGTCGAGAGTATGATTAACGACTTATGTGTCGTTAGGTAATTACTCTTTTGCACTCGACCTCACTCACTCTCTCTCTCTCTTGAGAGAGAGAGAGAGATGGAGGCACAGCAAATAAAACAAAAAACAAAAAAAGAAGGGAAAATAGAACCTATTATTGCACTATTTTTTTGCGTCAATATATATAAGATGACGACGCGAGCTTGCAGCGAGCTTAAACGCGCAGAAAAAAGCACACACCCGCAAAGTCAATCGATACATAAGAAATTGGGGGATTCCAATGAATACATCGTATTTAATCCCTCTCTCAATCAATCGGTAATAACAAACGCGACGAAAATTTGGGAGATTTAGCGTGCGATTATGTACATACATACATGGTAAGAGAGAAAGGCTATATAGTATACGAACGGCTCGTACATTCAAAGGGGGGCTTCTATATAGAGAGGAGAATCATATCGTACGCGCGCCGCTAATATAATACCGCAGCAGGCAGGAGCAGCATCGCTTCGATGTTTGGGGAGGAGGGTAAAGAGAGGCGCAGGTCGAGTCTCTCCCCCCTCACCGAACAAAGTTGTCAGGGTCCATTTGAGTATGAAATTGGATCCCGGAATCCCTTTTCAACAAACATAAATGGAATTTTGCTACTATAGGTAGCGCACGGCCAAATCCCTTGCCGATATATAATTAAGAATTCCCGTGCGCCGCGCGCGACAAATTCACACACACACAGACACACACTCACGTATAAACGCAGAGAGAGGGAGAGACGTGCGAAGAGTACAGCATAGAAAGCAAAGAAAGCAAGCACAGGCAAAGAAAAAAAATCTCATCGAAAAAGTTTTTAGTATATAAAGCACGGCGCGAGGCGCGCGGCACAGTAATAGCAAGTAGGTAGGTGTACGGCGCGCAGTGGGGCAGCAGTGGCAGGCAGGCAGGCAGAGGCGTATACGTATACATTCGGCATAGTCGGTCGGGGGGTTAGTAGGTATAACGGTATATAGAGTAGAGTCGCGCGGCACACAGTCGGGATAAAAGCAACAAGTTGGCACTTTAAAAAGGAACAAAAGCTGCTGCTGCTGCTGCTGCTGCTCTGGCAACTATTACTCAATCGGTGTACGCGGGGGGTGCACACGCACACACACACACACACACACAGAGCGTATAGTATATGGCCTAGGCTGCTGCATGCCACCCTCTCTCTCTCTCTCTCTATCTCGCGTGCTGCGTTCGAAAGAGGGAGAGAGAAAGAAAGTTAACCCAAAAGCAGAGAGTGAGTGAGTGAGAGAGAGAATGCGAGCATATACAGTGGTGCACACACCCGCAGCAGTAGTAGTAGTAGCGGAGAGCCTGACCCTTTCTCGAGGAGGCACGAGCGCGACCGACGACGACGACGACTACGGCCAAGTATTGGATGGCAATCGCCTGGCCTCTCCTCCTCCTCCTCCTATACACGTACGTGTAGATCGATATATCCATGTGTGTGTGTGTGCGTTGTACACTCTACTATACACGTGTGACGCAACGACCAACCCTTGGGCTCTCTCTCTCTCTCTCTCTCTCCGATGTGCGTATTATATACAACCGAAGTTCACGCGCGGGCTCGCAAGCGCAGCAGCAGCAACAGCAGCAGCAGTAGCAGCAGCAGCGGAGGCCCTTTATATACATCGTAAAATTGATGTGCACGAGGAACGACGACGTCGTCGTTCTTATGTACACATACACACACATGTCTATGTTATATACGCGTGGACGAAAGTTATCGAGCTTGCGAGACGCGCCGCGAGTACAATCGCCGCCTCCCTCGACCTACACCTCTTGACGAGCGCGTTGGGGAATAAATTTATTTTTTCGCTCTATGCGTACTTTTTTCGAGGATATATATTTTCCTTGATGCACACATGTATACATATCGAGGTACACATACATTATATTGTAAGAGACGTCATCCGTGCATATATATGTGTTACGTTATATACATATGCGATATAGGATTCGTGATGGAGTGCGCGTTGGTCTCTACCGCTGCTACTATTATACGACTATAGCTTTAGAGTGCGCCGCTCTGCTCTGGTCGTGCGTATCTGAATTTACGTGTGCTGCTGCTCTATACGTACTTATGCGCAAATTGAATTGAGCATTGCACGAAGAGTGCATGGTTATACACATGCGTCTGTGTGTATGTGGGTATAGGGTATAGGGTAGGGGGTAGAGAAGCTAGCCTAGCATCTAACTTGGATAATTTGGATACCCAGTTTCAGGACAGACTTTGAAATTCAATTTTCCGCGCGCGCGCGCCCCGCACGTGTGTGTGTGTACGTACTTATACCGTATATGTACATGTGCAGTGTTTGTATTAGAGTGCAGTGCGGCAACTGCCTCCCTTGCATATTATACAGCTGCAGCTCACGTGGACGACTACAACTACTACTACTGTAAGACTATTATTTTATTTAATATAAATCGATGGGCGCAGAGAGAGAAGGTAGGAGGGCGGAAGCTATTCGAGGGCAAGGATTTTTCGAGGTTTTTTTTTTGCCTTTAAGCAGGAGCGTGAGTCGATTCTCTCTCTCTCTCTCTCTACGTAATATAACGTCGACGTCGGGCAGGCGTACAAACAATTTGCTCTCGATAAAGAGCCGAGGCCCGTCGACGCTCTTTACTATATGCTCGCTCGCTCGCGCTCGCACGCGAACCCGTTTATAATAACGACGAATGGAACGGGCGGGAGTGCGCGCGTGCGAGCGAACGTGTCGTGCGGTGCATATACGACGACGTCTTCGTCAAAATTCAAGGGAAAAGTCTCTCTCTCTACTCTGTATGTGAAAGAGAGAGAGACGGAGGGAAATTTCGCGTTAAATTCATCGAGCGAGGGAGAGACTGCATAAAGAGAGAAGCGAGAATATATATCTATAGCGGTACCAGCAGCAGCTGCTGCTTTCCTTTTTTTTTTTTTTTTTATTATAGATATATCCCACCACGTGCACGCAGCGAAAGAGAGAGAGAAAGAGTACCACCGCTAGGAGCAGCAGCAGCTTCGCTCTTTCGAGCTTTCTATTGTCGTGGAGGCCATTGACGTCATCACGGTACAGCGGCGGCAGCGTAGCACCAGTGCAATCTCTTGCCCTAGGGCACACACATCTCTTCCTCCGTATATATAGCTATATATATACGCAAGATTACACAGATGCGCGGCACATTCATGCCTTTACGAGAGACACAGAGAGAGAGAGAATATATATATGGCGTATATAAAATATATATATATTCTTATACTCCTCTCTCGCGAGCGCTATATCTATGTTTTTCTCGTTTTCCCTCCTTTTGAGTAGCGCTAGAGCTAGCTCTCTAGCGAGCTTTCGCGCGCGCTATACTGTTTATTTACTATATCACACACACACTGACGGGACAGAAGGCGGGAGCTTCTGCTGCTGCTGTGCGGCTAACTGTGCGTTGGCTTTCTAGCTCTCTCTCTCGCTCGACAATGAGTATATATGCACACGCACATTTTACAATTCGAGTCGTGTAACGCCTTTTTTTCTTAATTAATTTTTCCCTTTTTGCATTAATTATCGTTACAATTTTATCATCCTCAACGTTGTTATATATATATAATCGCGTCAAAGACATGTACACACACTCTTGCAAGTTGGGTGCGGGTTTGTTCTAGTAACAATTAACTTTGTAACCGAAGCGCGAGCAGCGAGGACGAATAATATTTCTCTCTTTCAACGCGATAATTATCTCTCCGCGAAATCTTATATACCGTATAGACTTGAAAATGATTTTCTCCGGGTGTAATTGGCTTTTTTTATTTTATTTCGAAAAATTAAGAGCTCAATTTATATTACGAAGGATTTGGAAATTCATGAGCTTTGCTGCTGCAAGCTCGAAACGAGAGAGAGATTGTCAAAGTGTCACGGATCAAAGTATAAAAAAGAAGCAAAAAAAAAAAGAAGAAGGAGAAAATTGTAATTTTCTAAGCTTTGATTCCTTTTATGGGCGCGAGTAGCTGAAATATTCATTGTTTCTACCGTGTATAACGAACGGGACTTGTCTGAGCCCAATGATAAAATTTAAATGAATGGAGGAAGGAGGCGGCGGCGGCGGCTCTTTTTTTTTTATCTAACCCACTCCCCGAGAAATCGTTGAAAAGTCATTTAAAAACGTTCTCTCTCATTTTTTTTTTATTTCTCACGGTTGAAACTTCGACGATCGTTACAAACGATCGCTTTATTTTTATTATGAAAAAAAAGACAACGTATCGTTGCGCAAAACGAGTATGAACAATTTTTTCGATAAAAAATACAAGTGAAGCAAATAAAGAAGCGAATATTTACCTTTACGATTGAGATAAGAGAGCATCTCCAGCATATTATTTCAACGATTCGACCGCGCCTCGAAGAAGACCCGACGACTCGTGACGGCTGCAGCTGCGTGACTACGACTACGATGATGATGACGATGATGATGATCGTCGTTGCCGTCGTCCTCCGCTTCCTCCTCGTCGTAGTTTTTCACCTCGTCCATCGAAGTCATCCTCGCGGAACGTGAAAAATTATCCTCCCATTACTCCTCTCCAGCGGGGACACGATTTTTTTCCTCTTTCACTTATATATTAATATACAAAAACTATAATCGAATCGGCAAGAATTTATCCGTATCTATTTGTCCAGGCGCGATCGCACGCCTCGCACCTGCCGATGTACGCCTCGATCAAAGTGTTCGCCGAATGAAGCAGCAGTACAATTAGAGCGAAGAAACAGCAGAGGAGACAGAGCAGAAAACGAAGATCGCTCTCCGAAGCTTCTCCTCGTAACGGACGCCTCGAAAAATCCACGATGAAACAAGAGAGAAAGAGAGAAAGAGAGGGTAAGAGAGAGAGAGTGACTGACTACCGACCGACCGCTGCCTGGCGTCGTCGAGCACGTGCGAGTTGAACGGAGAATCGCGCTGAACTGCACAATGTAAGGTGCAATTTGCTCTACCGCTGGCCGGCTGGCGCGCAAGCGCTTCGCAAACGACGACGACGTACAGAGACTACTGCTGCTGCTGCTGCTGCTGCTGCTGCTGCTGTGAAATTGTGTGCCTTCATTGTATATAGATATATGTATGTGTGCGTGTGTATAAAGGCATCCCCCATGCTCTCCAGCATATAGTAGCATAAGAGAGAATATATATAGCTCTCGAGCGCGCGCAAGCTCGCGCGCAGCGATATGTATAAATTGTATGCGTGTGTTTCAAACTGCCAATATCTTCTGGCTGTTTATACTCGCCTACATACACACGTACATCGCGGAGAAGCGCACGTTGTAATATTATAGCATTTACATTTTCGCGCGCTACAGAGAGTGAGATATGCGGCAGTGGTTAACTTCGGCAGCTGCTGCTGCTGCTATTGTTGCAGTTAACACACTGGCGTGAGTACGTTACAATCACGATCTTCGCGACGACGTAACTTTGACGATGGTATATGATTCTTAATAATAAACTTGTGCGCTGCACTCGTGCGATTGCAGTCAGTAGCGATAATTATTTTTCATCGTATTGTTTTACTTTATATCGGTGGCCGAGTAATAAAATGATGACGATGACGAGTTCGAATAGCCACGTTAATAACCATACACACCATCCTTTGCGATTCGCTACGGCGACTATATACGTATATTATCTATCTATTTTCCTCGAATAAATCGAATTTTTCAAGAGTGAATAATTTTCCTTCGCGTGGTTATAGCAGGTCGCCGTAGTACAGTCTCTGGCTCGCGCGCGCGCCGCTAAACGATGAAGAATGGAAAAAAAGCGCGACTAATGAAAAAAGCATATTCGCTCGCTCTCTCTCTCCCGAGACAGCCGAGACAATCGCAGGGAATGAAAAAATTTTTGATTTATCGAAGTAATTTTTTAGATATCGATTAGAGTTTCGACATAGTTTTCTTTCCTCCACTCCCTCTCCCCCGAGCTGCCTGAAAATCGTAGTCTTCAGCGAGCGGTAGTTTTCGAACTGTTGATTCTCGCGTGCGAGCGCGCGCGAGGTGAATACGACATAGCTACTTTATCGATATTTTTTTTTAAAAAGTATGAAAAAAATCCAAGTTGCGTTGACGACTTTGTAGCCGAAGCTCGAGAATAGACAGCTGTTCAAGGATGTAAGGATTTCTAAGAGCTCATGCATGTGGTAATTTTACAAATTTTCTATTTCGCGACGTAGTTCGCATGTATGCGACGAAAATTGAATTCCGAGTTTATTCATTTTCAATCATTTATAACTCAAAAACTACGCACGCGTTTCAGGAGGGCGGAAATTTTCTGCGAAGCTTTCACTCTTTTAAAATGATGCGAACTGAATAAGAAATTGGTTCTCTCTCTGGGCGGCACCGCGAAAGCCGCACCACCGACGCTTCAAAATTTTTGCAGCGGAAATTTTTTTTTTAACTCGCACAGAGAGAGAGCGACGCGTCAATATCGCCTCGAGCGCAAAAGCATAAAAGTATACGTTCGACTTTTCAAAGGGTAAGGGTTAAATTATGACGGTGAATGTAATAATTAAAAAACGGATACGAGAACGAAGCGTATTCAGATAAATAAGATTCTGATGATTAAAAAATTATCTTTAAAAAAAAAATCCGTTTGTTGTTTTGTTTGCTAAAAGAAGAGATTGAATCTTTTTTCAAAATTGTAATCTCTCGCAATCCTCCTATTGTGTAAAAAATACTCCTTTTTTTTTCATTTCACAATCCTTTTATGACTACTTTTTAAACAATAAAAACCCATTTATTCCTCGAACGACCCGCGTTGTAAAAGTCGCGATTGTAAATTATTCAACCGATCGTTTATTACTCATATTACTAATCCAAAGTGCAACGATCTAAATTCCAGACGGATGAGTACATGCATTATCGGATCTCTAAATATGTATATTTCGGCTGGCTCGAGAGCCACGGAAAGATATTTTAGAATTTTCAAAGTCAAAACTTCCTCCGAGTGTCATCTTGACGTACACTTGAATATATCTTACCTTATTATATATACCTGCCTTCCGACCGCTCGTGCAGTTTGCCCGCAAGTTTGACGCGAAAAGCCAACGCGATGTTTTTCAAATTAAAACCGACTCAAAGCCCGAGACTTATTTTACGACGTATTTAAAATTATATATAAAACGCGATGTAAAGCTCGTATTATAACGTGGGCGAATTATGTTTATTTTCAGCTGAATAAAGTATACAAATCGAAATAGGTTGCTCCGCACACGTGCCGTGATTTTGCCTCATTGTCCGGCTTAACGAGCTGTCGTTTTATATTTTGCATTTTATTTCATATTTATCGTCCACGCGTACAAGCCGTAAATGGGTGTGTAACTATTTATAAAGTTCGATTCAATTTTTGCGCTGCGCGTGATCGACGCACATACATCGGTAAATATACCAGTAAACGTCAAGCTTCGACTTATTTTTTGTTTCTTCTCACCCCTCGTTACGCGTATATTTTCCCCGCAATGCCCGGCGATACATATTCAAATTATCCACGGGTGCTCGCATCATATATACTTTTCCCACGCGCGCGCACGGGTCAAATAGATAATAATACAACGCGCGGAGAGAAGGGGATATATATATGGGATAATTTATTCACACGCGATTCTCGCAATCAATGTTAATATTTGAATATGCAAGAGGTCGCCCCCCGCGCCGTCGTGTGCTCGGGTATAGAGGACTCTAAACGAGAACTAACTGTCGCGTCAGTCGGATCGTTGGGATCCGATGCGGGTGTACTGTATACCGTTATATATACTGTACTGCTGCTGCTGCTGCTGCTGTATATGCAGTCAGGCGCGGCTCACACAGGATCCTCCGCAAATATACTTGAGGTATACCTGAGTTGTTCCTATAGTTTGGAGCTGTGTGTGTGTGTACACCGGCATATATATACTATATATAAGCTTAACGAATGATTGCGGAACCGAATGATCCGGTCAGTACACACACGCACACTCCAAACAACAAAAATAATAAAGTCGTTTACGCTGCGGTTACTTTTGCGATCGATAGTTCGAATTTTCTCCGCGTTGTAGGCTTGTTGTTTTTTTAACGAAAATGGCTTTTCCACGCCGCGCCGAGTGCAAAAAAAAACTCTCGGCACTTTTTAAATCTTTCGCAAAAGTAAAAGCTGTTCCCCTGGAATTGGAACGAGAGAAGGATTTTACGATCTATCTGACAAAAATCCATTACCCTTGATATTTTGAAGAACCGGTGCAACAAAAAAAAAGTTATAAAGCTTATCATCAATAATTTATGAAAGCGTGCGGGCTTCCGAAATATCGAAGCTACTTAATGACAAAAAAAAACCTTCTTGACCCGCATTATTTATCAATATTATTTTTTACCAATTTTATAAAACCATTCACAAATTATGTATTGCGTAAATACGTTTCAAAACAATCATTAATTATCGTTCGATCGAGCTCTCGGAGTTGAATAAATTCAATTCAGAGCCGAGGATAAAGGGTAAGATCGTGTGATTTCTTTGAGATTATTCTTTTTTTTTCGGCTAAACAAATAGGTTTTAATAAGTCGGTCGTATTATATAAGTCTCTCGGGTGTATATAGCGTCGCTCTCTCTCTATATATATACCGAATAAATTGTGAAAGGTGCGCAAGCCGGAGAGAGCTTGATAGGACAATCAAGAGTTGGCCATTGAGTCGAAAGAGCGAGAAAAAGGTGGAAAAACAAAGGGAAACTAAAATAAAATCCTCCTCCCTTCAAAAAAAAATAGAAAGAGAAAAAAAAGACTCAGGCGTGATTGTAAGAGCTCGAATCATTAAGAATTTTTATTGCGCATTAAATCAAGCGGAATAGTTTTGTTATACATATAGGCAGGAGCTCAATAAGAAAATAGAAATGTTCGATCTGTAAAACTTCCCTCTCTCTGGCCCTTGTTGTAGTTCGCGTGGTAGCCGATGTAAACCATATTTTTATTCTCTTTCCCCCCCTGCAGCCCTTCGAGCCAGTGATAAAGTATCTGTGCCGTAGCCAGCCCAGAGAGTTTCTGGCCCTACGCCCAGTGTGATACGGCCAATTTACGGACACACATACACGAGCTGCCGCACTGCACCGGTGCAGTGCAGCGGTTGGTTTTCACGCTAGCAACGATAAGCTCACATTCATTATGTGTAAATACAACATTTCGAACGGTTGATTTCGACACGTACATATATGGGTCAGATTCAGAATTTTTCAAATAAACCTGCGGGCGAGGTTCACGGATTTTCCTGAAATTTTGGTATGTTATAGTACATGATAAAAAAGTGCCAAAACCAAAATTTTGGACCCCCTCCCCCCTCCTACCCCCCTCCTCCCCTATAGACGTCCATTTTCTATCTATATTTTTTCTGAAGGCCTGAAGCTATTAAAAAATCTGAAAAAATTCATGAAGGTACTTTTCAACAATCCAAACAATCTTGAATTTTTTCAGATTTTTCGAGTGCTTCAGGCCTTCAGAAAAAATCATTGAAAATTTAAATTATTTTATTTTCGGTGAAATGGTTCGATGTACCAGACCGGAGTATTTTTTTCTGAATTCTGACGTCAAAAAACGATTCCTTGAATTTTTTCAGAATTTTTCATTCATGTCCATTCAGCCTAGAGCTGAAAAACCGCTTTTTTTCACGAAAATAATTTTTTTAAGGCGCTACGGAGCCTCAAAAAATCTGGAAAAATTTTTTTCTCATTTTGTTCATCAAAATACATAATCTCAAATTTTTTCAGATTTTTTAATTGAAGGCGATAGCGTCTGGAGCCGAAAAACGTTATTTTTAACAAAAAAGGTTCCTGGAACCCGATGGTTCCGGTAAAAAAATTTGAAAAAATTTTTTTTGAATTCCTTGTCAAATTTTAATAAATTTTGACCGTCGCAAAATTTCGATTGGAGCTTCCTAG